GTGAACTCATCCAGCAACTTTGTGTCCCTGGAGTCCCAGGGAGTCAACAGTAAAAAGAGTGGTTCCCGCCCTTCAGTTTAAGATTTTAAAAATGTGTTAAAAACATCAGTGACATCGTTATGCAAGGCCGAACTGCCAGAGCAAGCCTGGGTGCTAAAGGCAGCTTTTATTCTATTCTATTTAATGTTTCTATTTATTTAAATTTTATTTATTCCGATCAATTCTGTGCATGGCAATCCATGCTATCTCCTGCTTGGGCCTCTCTGGATCAGGGGCACAGTGTTTCTGCAGCCGTGAACAGCTGCAAACAAGCCATTGAGACATTCTCTACACCAGTTCAAAGTGCACAGATTACTGTACTGTTAGCCACCTGTGGCAAATTGTATATTTTTTCAAAAACCTCACTGGCCTCTCAATTACCCCTCTCCATTCCCATTCCCTGGGATTCCTTGACCTCTTTTATCAGTTAATAACATTTTAACTGACACACATGTCTTATTGTGTCATGACTGATTAGACTGCTGTTATTTATGTGATTTTTTTTCTAGACACTATTCACTATGACCCATAATTTTACAGTATTTTTACAGGGATATATGCACATTCATCCCTAAAGCACATTCTAGGACCCCCCCCCCCATCACTCCACCCTTGCATTCTGTCTCCCCAACAGCTTCATCTTGAATACTGTGGTCCAACAGTGGAAGATGGGAATTCAACCTGCTTGTGGCAGACAAACACTCAGGAACAGGCAATAGACACAGACCAGAAGCCACAACTTGCAAGTGTATTTCTGCTGTGTGTTTGGAGAAGAGCGTTTCCCTTAATACAAAAACAGGTGAATCTGGGTAGTCATTTAAAACGTGAAGCGGTTCTTAGTCTACTGAAGTTCACAGGGATAAACTGATTTAAATGGAAGTAATTCAGATTAATCTATTTGTGAGTCACTGAAATAAAAGTTGATTCTGGGTTTTTTTTTGGTGGACTGTACATTTGCTGCCCAGCTGGTTAGATCCTTCCACAGGTGGAGAGGGAAACCAGAGTAGCCTGCGAAATGTGCCTAGGTGGACAGAATAGGTGGATACGTTTTGGGGGACTTCAGTGTCCATGCTAACGCTGCCTTGTCTCATGCCTCCTTAGATTTTCCGAATGCCATGGCATTATTAGGACCCTCCCCGGTTGTACTGGCCTCCACGCTCAGAGCAGGCCACATGTTGGATCTGATCTTTTGTACCTGCCCAGCTGGTTAGATCCTTCCACAGGTGGAGAGGGAAACCAGAGTAGCCTGCGAAATGTGCCTAGGTGGACAGAATAGGTGGATACGTTTTGGGGGACTTCAGTGTCCATGCTAACGCTGCCTTGTCTCATGCCTCCTTAGATTTTACGATTGCCATGGCATTATTAGGACCCTCCCAGGTTGTACATAAGAACATAAGAGATGCTGGCCTCCACGCTCAATCATGTACTGGCCTCCACGCTCAGAGTAGGCCACATGTTGGATCTGATCTTTTGTACAGGAACTGATCTGGATTCAATGGTTCTCTGCAAACTGGTGCCATGGACTGATCATTACTTTGTGAAGATTGGTTTGAGATTTGCCTCCTCCTGCTATAGGGGCGGGTAGCTTATTTATGCTCGCTCACAGAGACTTGTGGATCCAACTGGATTCCGGAATGCTCTGTGTGATTTGTCTGGCTCTGCTGGCAGCAATTTTGATGAACTCATTGATGCCTGGAATTTGAGCTTTCAGGAGGCCATTGACCGAGTTGCCCCACGGCACCCTCTTTGCCTCCGTACTACCTTGGCTCCCTGGCAATGTTCCCTCTAAGCTGAGTTAGTGTGAGCTAGCTCACACTAACTCAGCTTAGAGGGAACACTGCTCCCTGGAATGTGGATGAACTAAGGGCAGTAAAAAGGGGCTTAGATGGCTAGAGCAGTGCTGGTGATGAACTCATGATGAAGCAACAAGAGCACTTTATAGAGCCTGCTTGAAGGCTTATGAAGTGGCAGTGAAGTGCTCATACTTTTCTGCCTTTGTTGCATCTGCCATGTTGCATCCAGCTCAATTGTTTAGAGATATTAGGCAACTGACCACCCCTTCAGTGGCTCCAAAAGTACATGAAAATTTGGCTATGTGACACATTTGCGACATTCTTTTCGCCGAGACTTGGCTGCCAGATTTGGAGTCAGTAGGAATCCCAGGGCCCTGTGTGTGCAATTGGGTCCATTTTTGGAAACCAGGGGCCCTGTGTGCACAACTGGGTCCATTTTTGGAATCCTGGGTGCCAGTCTGCACAATCAGGTCCATTTTTGGAATCCTGGGGCCCTGTGTGCACAATTGGGTCCATTTTTGGGCTCCTTAAATCCATTCTCCCAGGCGGATGTTAACAGGATCCTATCGGCTGTTCAGCCTACTACCTGCTCCTTGGTTCTTTGCCCTTCCTGGTTGGTGAAAGCCTCCAGGGAAGTGGTAGGAGGAACCTTGGGAGACACTATCAATCTCTCACTCTCCCAGGGCTCTTTCCCCCTAGCTCCCTCAAGGAGGCAGTGGTGGATCCCCCCCCTCCTGAAAAAGCTATCGTTAGATGAGAGGGACCCAGCAAATTACCGCCCAGTACCTAATCTTCCATTTCTGGGAAAGGTGATTGAGCGAGCCATGGCTGAACAGCTCCAGGAATCCCTGAATGAGATATCTGCACTAGATCCCTTCCAATCTAGCTTCTGGCTGGGGTTTGGGACTGAGAAAGTTCTGGTTGATGATCTCCGGTTACACCTTGATACAGGTGAAATGGTGCTACTGATCCTGTTGGATCTGTCTGCTGCCTTTGACACAGTCCTGGTCAACTGCCTACCCTCCCTAGGTGTGAGGGGTACAGCCTTTTTACTGCCAACTCAGTCAGGAATTTGGGTGTATGGCTTGATTCTTTGCTCTCTATGGGCAAACACGTGTCCATGGTGACACCAGCTGGTTCCCTATCTGTCTCAGGGGAACCTGGGCACAGTAATTCACTCAATAATCACCTCAAGACTGAACTACTGTAATGCGCTCTATGCAGGGCTACCTTTAGAGATGCTTCAGAAGCTACAAGTGGTCCAGAATGTAGCTGCCAGATTGCTGACAGGAGTGTTCTGGTCGGCACATATTACACTTATCCTATGTCAGCTGCATTGGCTCCCAATTGGTTTCTGGTGCCAATTCAAAGTGCTGGTACTTACAGTTAAAGCCCTAAATGGCCTGGAACCCTCATACCTTTGAGACCGCCTCTCTTGACATAATCCTTTCTATATTCTACGATCTTCATATTGGAATTTATTGAAGGTCCCTAGTCCATGAACTGCCCGCTTTATGTCAACAAGGGCAAGGGCTTTCTCAGTAGTGGCCCTCATCCTGTGGAACCAGCTGCCCGAAGAAGTGCGTGCCTTGTGGGACCTTCCTAGGTTCCGCAGGGCATGCAAGGCTTCTCTTTTTCAGGTGGCCTTTGGGTGATTGTGACCCACCAGGCAGCTGGTATACCTCCGCTGTGTCTTCACCATCCATGCATCCTACCCTGCTTGCTAGTGGATAAATTTTAATGGGGATACATTTTTAACCGTTTTATATTTTAATGATTATTTATTGTATGTTTGTATTGTTTTCATTGGTGTATTTTAAATGAGGTTAGCCACCCTGAGTCCTGTTTGGGGGAGAAGGAGCGGGATATAAATTTGATAAATAAAAAAAATAAAAATAAGCATAATTGTACAATTGTACAGAGTAAACATTATTTTGTGTTCAACTTTTAAAAAGGAAGCTTAAAAAATACTAAATCTGACAGATTAGATTTTTTTGCAGCAAAACCCCCTCCAGGAAACTGAAACTACTTTTGCCACAGAAATTCATGCCTTTTCCCTCAAACCACTTCTGTTTAATTAACTGAAGCTACAGAATATTAATGAAGTCTGGAATACCTAAAAAAAGTGAAATTAAGAAAAAATGGACATGAGTGTGCTATATTTAGGTTCATTTGAGCCATTTCTGTTCTTTATTCATTTAAATCATTTTTATTCCTTATTCATTTTCTGGGACAGTGGAGTTTCTGAAATCCCTTCACAGTTAACATGTGTCCCGCAAGGTATAAGTGTACTGAAAACAAACAATCAGGGTTCCTTTCCTCACCCCATCTTCAACTGACCATTCATATGGGAAATGGTCAGTAGTAAAATATTTTGTTTTGTTAAAATGAGGGTTTCTTGGCTCATGGCCCAAAAAACTAGCCCCAGAAATGGTTGACTGTTCTTCTCTTTTTTTGTATATTTAAATTGTATTTCTTTTTAATTTTATCTGATTGTATTTAATTAATTTTATCTGATTGTATTTCTTAGAAAGAAAAGTGTCCGATAGATATACTATTACTGATTTGTTCTGAATGGAAGCACAATTCACAACAAAGATTCAGTAGCCGAATCATGACAATTTACAGTACAACATCATGCTTACTCTTTTGATATGCAGATAGGTAATCAGCAGTATTATTTAAGCCAAATGAAATTTCTGAACAGTTCAACGTTGTAACGACTCAAAATTATTGGTTCTGTTCTAGTATCTGAAATATTCCCTGCTTTTTCTAGTTAAAAAACATTATGAGACCCAGTTTGGTAAATTTATACCAGTCTTTGCTTTGCCTTATTCTTCTGAATAACAGAGAAGAAAGCCAAGTATACGCATCCATGCGCATCTTTAAAAGTAAGTAAATATCTATCATCATAATCCTATTTCAGATGAAAGAAAAGGTTTATGCAGGTCTGCACAACTTGTGACCTAACAAACAAAACTCAAGGAGCTGACTACATATACTGGTAGGGGGGGGGGTGTTGGGTTGGGAGCCTCTCTAGGGTAGTGGTCAAGCACTGGCAAGTCAAAATACATGACAAGTAGATTACATCTGGTTTGGCAGGTCACAAGTTGGGTTCATGTAATTGCACTGTGTCTTAGATTTTCCTCCAGGTTCTTTGTGCCTCACCTGTAGTCCTTCTCTGACAGCCTCAAGAAGATAGGGAACAATGGAATAGTTCCACAGGTCTGTAAACCAAACTCTGGAACCATCTACATCTATTGGGCAAGAGAGGAAGAGTCGTGGACCTATGTAAGAAGGAAAATGTAGATTTTAACAATACCAAAGCACAAAAAATGACAGAAGGGGAATAGGAAAAACAGATTCCTCCAGCAGGGACTTCAGAAGGAAAAACTTGGTATACTACTCTGATGTTCCTGGAAGAAGGACAGATGTAACATATATTTATAATCCCCATTAATTAATCATCTTAAATAAGGTAATAAGTATTTATTATTTACAATGAAGGAACCCATTAAAACCACTGGATAGCATACTTTCTAACTGATTCTATGATAGGGCACAAAGCCTCCATTTTAATATTTTTCTCCTCTGGAGTTAAAATTACATGGCCTCTCTGAAGTGTTGGAAAACATGTCAGAATTTTAAAAGATAATTCTGACATCTTACCAATTGTAACATCTGAAGAACTGTGAGCCTCTAAGAACTTGTTGAGATGTTGCCAGACTTTAGGAATCCATTCTATGATTTTAACCAGTTCTGCATTTCTCATTCTGCCACCGATTTCTGTTTCAACAAGTTTTCTTCTCAAGAAACGGCCAAGAAAACCTTTTACTGGCTCAGTGTGGTTGGCACACAGCACCCATCTGAAGTTGTGGTGCAGCTGAAGGTTAGGCGTTGAGGAAGTTGCCTGGTTCATTGTTCCTATGATGTAAGGACTATGAAAAACAAATGAATCAGCATTTTATGTCTAGAACATTTCTTAGATTTTTGCTACTACTATTTGTTATGGCCATCTATCCCGAACACAGTATTTCGGAAACCTGTACATTGCCTTCAATGCACACCCACCATTTTTTCTACCCTAGTATTGGTTAAGCTGCAGTGATGTTAGGGAATGTACCCCAACATTTAATCTTCTCAGTAAACAGATCATTTGCAAACAAGACTGATTTACATGAGGAAAAATCAGATGCCACTTTGGTTTGAAAAAACCTCATAAAAGGAAGATGGGGTGGGGGAAAATGACAAACGCTAAGGGCAAGAAAGTGATTAAATAGATACAGAACTCTGAATAGGGAGGGATAAAAACTTAGGTTGGAGAAAACCGATGTAAAGAGCCCAGGAACACTAAGTTCTGCATGCTGCTCTCTCCTGGAAGTTACAACATTGCTATTACCATTTATGGTACTTGCAGTTCAAGAGCCCATTGAAGATCTCTCCCAAGGAGCTGACATGATGCAAGTTGTCCAGTATGATAACAAGTGGCATCTCCACAGCATTAGTCTCACTGTTGCATTGATCAGCAAGGTTGGAAAGATACTGGCGAAGTTCCTGCAATGGAGATGAGAAAGAGGAACTTGGCTTTCAGTTAGAAATCTTTGTACAGATGACCCTGTGAGATTCAGAGGTACAATGACCTCTTGTGAACCACAAACAGCCACACTTTTCTCAGGGGAAGAAACTTTTGGAATATTGTTTATAAAAAAAATAAAGCTCAGTTACGTTTGACAGCATGCTTGGCATCCTAACGACACAATTATCATTAGAACATAAATGTCATTCTCACAGTGATATCAGCTTCTCCAGGGAGGAGCAGGCAGTTGCCAGATCTCTTAGAGAGCCTCCTTGTCCTGATGATTGGGCCAGAAGTGAAATCTTGGGAGAAAGTAGATCCAGAATCTTGAAAAGTGGAGGTACAGGACAGGATGAGGAGGCCAGAAACAGCAAGATGGACAGGTTCACTGGCAGACTTTGTCTGGTAAAGCAGCCAGAACACCAACTTAGTGCCACAAGTTTGCCAGTTTCAACCGCACCCCTGTGGGATGAGATTACATCCTGGGACCCAGAACGGCGCTTACCTGGGGGAGCCATGGAAGGAGGGGCTGGCCGCAGTGGTGGTAGGTCCAGGCAGGGAGGTGGCCAAAGTGGTGGCTGGGTAAGAGGTAGGAGGTGGCAGCCATGGGAAGCAAAGTGACAGATGTCCCCATACTGCTGCTGGTGACATCACCAACCAGCAACAGCTTGCTGAAAGACACTGCTGGCTAGGAGGAGGAGGCCTTGCTAGGGCACAGGAAGATGGGAGATGGGGCAACTGCAGGGAGACAGGCAAGGAGCCCATGCAGCCCAACTGTGACCAGTAGGGGGGGCTTTTAATGGGGCTGAGCTCAGGCAGGCTGGAGGTGGGGAGGTACAGACCAAAAGAAGTTGGAGCCTTGCCCCCTCCTTTAGCTACCTCAAAGGTAGGTAGAGCCAGGGCCAGAATAGACCCAGAAACAAGGGGGCAGGCTGAGAGGTTGCATAAGAGGGAGCCTCTCAGACCAGGCCAGGGAAGAAGGAAGGACTGAGTACATAAGGTGGGAGAGAGAGAGAGAGAGAGAGACAGTGAGCCAGTCCTGGGAAGAGAAATGAACTGAGTGCCAGAACTCCCTCTCCTTCCCATTCTGTGGGGGAGTCCATCTGACCCCAACAAGGGTGGTGGAGAGCAGGAGGACTGGGCAGGTGTGGGAGGAACCACTCACAAGGGGAGAGCTATTCAGGTTAGATGTGGAAGAAACACTGGTCGCTGCTAAAGGTGTCTCTTGCCAGAAGGTTAACGGATGACAATGCACATCCCAAAATATTTCCCTGAGGAGAATTTTCTCATTTGTAAATAACAGAAATGTTTTTGTCTTGTCACCTGCTTGTGCTTACCTTACTGGACTTATGATCCACATTAAACGTTGCAATAGCACCATCGGCCAGCTCTCTGCCCTCTCTAAGCACCATATATTCTGATAGTCGATTGGCCAAATATGTTTTTCCTGTGCCACTTGGACCAGATAAGATGATTCTCCTATGTTCCATCAAGAGCGACACATAGCGCTGCAGTATAGGCCTTGGAATGAGAGACTCAAATACCAGACTGTCCAAACTGTTCTCTGCAATGCCTGCAACAACAATTTTTAAAAAAATTCTAACTCATTTACAAAAAGTTATTACATCGTGCACACAAAGAAAACCAGCAGCGTCTGTTACTTAATAAGAAATCTTTTATAACATCCTTTAGACCTTGCTGCCACCACCCAAACTCCTTAGAGTAGTTCGGCAGTGAGCTTCTATACAAATAAAATATTACTACTCCAATTCTAAGCTAGACAGACCAATATTCTGACATAATGTGGCTCATATACCGTATTTTTCGGACCATAAGACGCACCTGACCATAAGACGCACCTAGTTTTTAGAGGAGGAAAACAGGAAAAAAATATTCTGAACCCTGGGGCTCAGTATTCGGTCCATAAGACGCACACACTTTTCCCCTCACTTTTTTTGGAAGAAAAAGTGCATCTTATGGTCCAAAAAATACGGTATGTGAATGTGCACAATTGCTGGTGTTTAGGTACTTTCTCTGTTTGCTCTGAATATCCTTTGTTCAATATGATGGAAATATCTTCCAGCAGAAAACTTCCATGTGAGAGAATTTATGCAATGTCAGCAAAGGAAAATCTGGCCAACTGAGAAGGCAAAGCCAGCAATCCTTAAAAGCATGTGGATGGAATTTCAGCTGGGAGATCACATAAAGACTGAATTATTTAGCACCTAAGTAAAAAATTATCAAGATCAAACATTTGTATGAACAGCTGTATATTTGGAAGATATAAGTATTTTAGGGCAACTTGATAATATAACAATATCTATGTCACCAGCTGACTCAAAGAATAAGGTCAGCCAAGTTTTTAATTCTAAAAGTTCTAAATCAACAATGAATTGTTACATGGCCATGAAGTCCAGAAAAATGGATAGCAATACTTCTGGGATGAAGCAAACTTACACTCATATAAAAGACTCACAGTTAAATCCTATGCAGAGTTTCACTGGTTTTTTATGTATTTTTATTTCTCTAGAACACTTCCATGCCTCCTCTCCATAGACTTTGCCCAAAGCGGCTTACAGAAATAAAGCATAATAAAAACAGAACACCACAAAAAGTAATGAGCCCCTGTATTAAAACCCCAACCAGAGCATAAACCAGCATAAAACATAGAGCAGCTTAAATTCTCAGGTTAAAAGCAGCCTTGGTGGCAAAAGCCCCATCTTTGAAAGGTTTTATACTGGAGCAACTCTGCATAGGAGTGCATTGTCAATTACTCATGAGAAATCAGGACCACGATCCTCATGCAACTACTTAAAAATAATCTACGCACTTATTTCGAAGAGTGCCTCCAATGCCAATGCCTTTGTTGCTTGGGCAGAGATCTGGCCCTAGCTGCCAACAAAAACAGTGTCATGTGCTGATGTTGGCACGTGTGCTGGGAGTTCCCTATCCTGATATAAATATAAGGCACACACCCCATTCTTGTAGAAACACTCTAGAGCAGAATGAGAAATTCCTTTCAGAGTATTTCATCCTGCAGATGAAAACAGAAACCTAATGCATGCACACAGCCTTCCACAAACTTCTCCTAAATCTACAGTATTAACCTTATCCTTGAACTCCAGCTATGCAGTGTTTGACAGAAGGCAGGCAGCTATACTGGATAACAAGGATAGCTTCAATTTTCTGTACATTCTAGAGTATATGAAGGAAATTCAAATTGCAAGGGCTAAAAAGCCCATTCTCTTTAATACTGTAGAATGCTCTTTATCATCTATCCCTATTACGTGTATAGCTCCAAGCCTACCATAAGTACTATTTCACTGTGAACAGGGACATGATGATGCAAGCCAATGTGCAGTAAAGATTCATAAATGAAAGATGCTGTGCATACATTTACAACTTCAAGGAGAATAATATACATAAATGCTACTGCTTTTCAAATTGCTCATGATAGAGACATACAAACTAAAGAAGTGTGGCATGTAGAGACTGAGAAAACAAAATAAACTCATTAAACACTTACTGTTCCTCTGAGGTTTCTCCAGCATTGAGGCTTGGCAAGGCCTGTAATTACAGAGAACTATAACAAATGGATCACCTGTGATTTACCTTTGATAGTGACTGAGATGGTATTGTTTTCGCCAACCAAGTACCCACACGGCAGCAGTTCAGGTGTCTCTGCGCTATTCGTGCGTACGATTTCGCCGATGCTGTAGCCCACGACGCTGTCTGAATTTAACCCTAGTTGACTCACAGGATCTACATGAATTATGTATTCCTATGAAATGGGAGGGGAAAAGAAGGAAATAAAGAAACCTTCCCATCATGTTTCTTGGTCTTAAGAGTTCACAACGAAATAGCTTCCCCCCCTCCATTTCCAAAGGGAATTAATCCACAGAATGAAAAGGCAAATCCATTTGTCAAATCAGACATTTAGACTCTTCTGACTGAACACTGGCTTAAATGTACAGAATTAGCCAAAAAAACAACCAGCAATTCAGAGGCAACTTCTGGGAATTCAGTCCTGTCATGACTAGTTGCATGGAATACTAAAGATAAAGGCAGTAAGCTATGCCATCTTATTGTGCATCAACATTTCGTAATGAAATCTCAAGAGAACTCTAACAAAATGATGAACTTCTGTAGTCATTACATGTGAGAGGCACTATACCTCTGAGTACCAGATGGGAGGTACAAATAACGGGATGATCATTATCCATGCCTTGGTTATGAGCTCCTAGAAGCATCTGATGGGCTACTCTTAGAGACAAAATGTTAGAAGACGCTTTGATCTAATCTAGCAAAGCAGTTTATCACAAGGGAAATATGCAAGTTGCCACTTCACACTTTACAACAAAAGCAAGGGTCTTAGGATGCTCAACTGGAATTTCATTGAACATATCAGGTGAGACTGAATGTTTTATGGTCAAGATGCCAGTAATACAGTTCCCATGTAATGATAAACCATGGTTTGTTGTGACTGTAATAAAACTTGGACATCCTCAGGCCTTCAAGTTCTCTCCCCATTTTTCCCCATCACATGCAGCTCAGTAATCCATCATTTCCGCTTTTGTAGGAAATCATAGGTTGCTGATAGTCCTCAACTACAAACCATAGCTTTTATCTCCAAGATTCCAAACCATGTTTAAACGGTACCATGGAATCCTGGTATGATGGAAAGAGAAGAAACTATTATTTTAAAACAGATGTAATTTTAAACTTTGGTTTGCTGCCAAAAAACCCCTGGTTATTAATTTCTGAACTGCATGTGAGATTTCCAAGGCTGGCTGCAGTAACAGCAAATTCTGGTTTACATGTGAACTGTTGCAATAAATGAAATGTATGAAATGACACTCAGACCTTATGGATCAGGATTTTCTAGCTTCCTCCTACTGCAGCAGCCCACTGAGCCCTCTGAAGTTTTGTTCCTGGAGTCAGCGTACCCCTCTGCAGCAGCACAGGGGGCAAAGCGGGGCTTTGCAGGGTAGGGCAGAACTGACAGAAATTGATGCCCTCTCTACCAAAAAGTTTGGACCAGTGAGGCTAGACACTCAGAGGTATTTTTAAATGCTTGTTAGTGCAACAATAAAGAATCTGTTTTCTTTGTTTTTAGCCTGAATCAAATAAGTTAGTTTATAGGAAGCACTGAAGCAACACCATTAGAAATAACATCAAACATTTCACCACTTACTTTGAACAGCCTTCGAACAACACCATCTAGCACATCCCATTTGGTCTTTCCACTGACTCCAATACAGCCAATGAGGAAGAGACGAGGCCTAGAATCCTAAATACATAACAATGTATTAAAAGACAATGGACCTAGGAAATCTTTACTGTTCCAAAGTGAAAAGTTATCCATATCTGAAACATTTCGGCATGCACTACAAGCTCTGAGACTCCAACCTCCCAAACCTGTATGGATTGGGCATTTTCAACATAGATGTAAATGGGGAAATAAGGGGAGATCTACTCACACACAGAGATTCATTAGCGCATCATTTCCTCACTACAGTTTAGATCACACTCCCGGCCTCTAATGCAACCTACTAGCTTAAAATTACACAACAGGCATGGATAAACAGCCACATTTCCTTATTTGTTGTAATTATTCCTCATACAGTGGGTGCTAAAGCTAGAAAAATGTTGATAGCACTGCACAGAATCAGACAACAGCATCACAACAACAATTAACTGAAAAACAACAGTGTAAGCCAATAACATAAAACAGTCCAAATACAATAAACTCTTATCAATTCTTCTAAGGACTTCTGAAACAGGAAGGTTTTGCATTGCCACCTGTAAATTAAATGTGAGGAGTAAGGTGAATCTCTCTGATCAATGCAGCTGCCTCAGCAATAAAGACCCTGAGCTGCCCAACTAGAGTGCTGAGAAAGGACTCAGAACAATAGCGTTGTTGCTTGTCTCAAGTGCAGAATGGCCCGTTGAGTGAAAAATGTTCCCCAACCCCCACAGTATGCAGGACAAGGCTATGCAATATTTATAGGTTAAAACTAGTATCTTGAATTGGGTCTGGAAATACACCAGCAGCCAACACAGTTAGCAAAGAATCGGCCGAACGTTTCTGCCTCCTAGTTGTACTAAAATCTTTGTGGCTTGATTCCAAGCAATTTAATTCTATATATAATAGAAAATGCTTGATGTGACACAACAAACTTTCTGAAAAGCTGGCAAGCGAGTTTTGTTGAGAGATGGGTGCTTCTTTCATTGCCTGATCCAGATCTTGGACTGCTTCCCACTAATATTATTTACTTTAAAAGTTAATTTAAAACCAGCGAATGAGAGAAAGGCCATAGGGCATTTTTCAGATTGTACAAGACTGATTTTGACAATCTCTTTGTTCAAGGCCAAGTCTGCTGGTTTCAGTTTCCCATTTATTCATTCCAAGTTACTGGGTGCATTAGCAGGTCTGGACTTCATAGAACTCCATGGCTGTGGCATTGTGTCTAGACTAGATTTCCCATTAGTTAGTTTTATTATTACGGTCTTAAGACCAACATACAATATAAACATAGATTTCCCATTGTAATTCCTCCATCAAGAGCAGCAATGAAAAAAGTAGTAAGGGGGAAAGTTCTAGGAAGCATCAGGCAAAAATGGCTCTTTTAAGAACGGAAACTCTTCAGATGAAGTGGTCTTTCCACTCAAAGTCTTTGAGAGTTAACAGAATCATTTCAGTACTACATAATTTCATTTTCTTTAACTTCAACATGTTGCAGATAGGCAGGAACAGAAACTTTTAGAAGACACTTAAACAGCTGGCAGCAGAAGCAGGGCTGGGAATAGGCAAGGTTACATTGGTTTGTCTTGAAACTAACACAGATATCTGCAGAAGTTTCCTAATCAGTAGTCAGAGATATTCCGAATTCCTTATCATTCCTTTTCGACACTGAGAATTATGAATTGTAAAATAGACGGCCCTTGTGTGATGAACACAAGGGTGAGAGGGTAGGCAGATAAGGAATACTATAGCAGACCAGCAGCTAAACCATGTTGCGTCAATCATTAAAGTAGTCCTTACATATTTATCTCTAAACTCTCATTTTGTTCTATTACAACTTTATCTATAAGAAATTGAATCTTTTATTAATTGTTTTCTGGAGATAATCAAGATATAGTTTTTACTGCGGTTTACTTAATTGTCTTAATTTACTTGATCAACTTCTTCTCCACACACAAACAAAAATTCCCTGCATTGAGAAAAACTAGACTAGAATCCTTCTCCGTCACATACTAGTTGTCTATGTGAATGGATTCTTTTTGTAGGGAGAAGCAGTTGCTTGGGTAAGCCCCACCTGCAAACTGAAACACTATAGTCTGGACAGATTTACTCTTGCAGTGAGAATTACGCCTCAGTTGGCCGATATTGGGGCCAGCAGGAGAGGTTTAGAAACCAGGAGTATTCCCAGTATACATGCAGTAGACTCATACCTCCTTGCTCCTCCTGGTAACACAAAAGGCTTCTTTGCACAAAGTATCTGTCACATTTTGCCCATCACAGTTTTATTTTTCTTCTAAGAAGCTCAGGAGTGCTTACAGCTTTCCCCTCCTCCTTTTTGTCTCACGATAGCCCTTTCTAGGTAGGTTAGACTGAGACAGAATGACTGCTCAAGGTGACTCAATGAGCTTCATGATAGACTGGGGATTAGAACCAGGATTTCTTCCATTCTAGTGCAACACCTTACCCACTGCACCACGCCAATTCTCAAAGTAGTTTCACCATAAAACATTGCATGTCTTGCAGCATGCAAACAAAGCTCCAGCCCATATATCTAGCAATGCTGGAAACACAGGTTGAAAAAGCATCCCACACCCAACTTACCTCTTTCCATTTCACTTCATCCTGAAAGCTGATGACTATTTTAACACGCCTGCCCCCTTCTTTCCGAGAAGAACCATCACCGGGGTCATCTAGCAGCATGTCTGAACAGAAAACATGAACTATCTGCTTACAGTGCAGAGGGCTTTTTGGGCCTTTGTGAATATACACTCTGGCATATATTGGCTTGTTTTGCACAATGCAGTCTTCGGTTCTTAGACTTAATATGGAATAAGTAAAACCCTGCCACCTGGCTACTGAAAATCTGTCTCAACACCCACTTTGATTTCTGAGGCTACTTTTGCAATCATGTGGTCTAGAGACTTCCTTGATGAGATTCTCAGGATGCTTAATCTTATATGCCCTTACAGAATAGCAAATGTCAAGATACCCCAAAGAAGTCTGCAGGGGCCATGGTAAAAATATATATATGATATGTTCTTTTTTAAAATATCTAGAAAACGGGCAGATTTTAATGACTGTAAAAACAATTCTGTGCAGCTGAAGTCACATATAGAAAGCTATACTCTTAAAACACAAGAGAGCTGCTGCTTCTGATATTGTAATGGAAGGATTTATTCCAGTGCTTTTAACTTTTTTTACAGCTACAGGATGCAACTTGCCCATTGCCCATCACATCTACTCACCAAGACTAGCTGACTCTGTGAGGTTTAGGCTGTGCTGTGAAAGGCCCATAGACTGCCGTGGAGAGGATGAAATAGAAACCTGAGACTGGGCCCTGCTGCAGCTGCCTTGGTTTTCAGATTTCAGGCGGTCATTTTCTGCTTTCAGTTTCTCAATCTCGCTCTGGATTAGAAAAGACAGACTGCCAGTGAAGGAAATGGAAAGCACACACACTTTCTGCCATTTTTAGACATAGATACAGCCTAGCAATTCTCTATCAAACAAAAAGTAGCAAACTTAGGTGCATAAAAGCATGCCATCAGTGGTAAACTGATGGCTCATATAGCAGACTGGACCGTTGATGTGTAGGCAGAGAGGAAATGACCAAGGCAGATAATGAAAGAAAGGTAGATTCAAGTAGCTCCCTTTGCCAGATACCCCCAAAATCTTGTTGGTCTCTAAGGTGCCCTGACATGCATAGCCCAATTTCACCAGATCTTGGAAGCTAAGCAGGGTCAGCCCTGATCATTAATTGGATGGAACACCTCCAAGGAATACTAGAGTTGCTATGCAGAAGCATGCAATGGCAAACCACATCTGAATGTCTCTTGCCTTGAAAACCCTACCAGGGATCACCATAAGTCAGCTGTGACTTGAAGGCAAAAACAAAAAAGAGCACTGGAGTTGAATCCAGCTGTTCTACTGCACACCAACATGGCTACCCTCTGAAACTAAGGAAAGGTAGAAGGCAGAAAGCTGGAGGGGAGAAAAGATGGTGGAGAAGGTAAGAAAAGCTATCTGAAGGGAAGCCAAGGAGAAGGGGAAGAGTTAAACATAGGGCTGGCCTTCAGAGTAAGGCCAGCAGATCTGAGTACTGTGTAACTGATTGACAGACAAGCATCCCTTGCATATCCAACTTGTCCTGAAACAGGAGTTCAATGTGCCCTCTCGTGAAAGGGTCTCTCACTCTATTTTGCTTCATTTTTGATATTTTTGCTACTTTAAAATTTTTTGAGTACTTTATTAATTTTAATATATTTTGGATGCTGTTCTGAACATCCATGATGGATGAAAATCTGGATTTTCAACCCCACTCGTTTGATTGATTTATTTAAGTTTCTAAGTCAGATTTTCTTTGTACGTTTCTATGAACCAAAAAGGCCAAAGAAAGGAATGGATGTGCTAGAATCTGACCAATGTTATAGAGGCTCTTTGCCACATCCTCCAAATTCACATTTTGTTGACAAGCAGTGGCAACTTTTAACATCTGTGATTTAAGGGCCTTGCCTTGGTGTAAGGATATAGTCTCAGGTAAATACATTGACAGACTTATCAGATCTTGGAAGCTAAGCAGTTTAGACTCTGGCAAGTACTTGAATGGGATGATCTCCTTGAAGTACCAGAGGCGAGAGCCGGGAGCAGGCTTTACTCAGCCACCTCTCTGAATATCCTCCAGCCCCCCCAGGAAGGGTCAGTCACCAAAGGTCGCCATGACTTCCAAGTGCACACAGTCAGTCACCAGAGTTTGCCACGACTTCCAGGTGCGCACACACACACACACACACACACACACACACACAAATACCCCCCCAAGACAAGAGCTCTAATTTTAGGTTGTGGGTCTGGATTTTGGTGTGCAGTTCTTTCCCACTGCAGATCACTACAGAACACAGCAAAGAACACTGAAGTTCTTTCCTACCTGCATCCTATTCATGGCCTCCCGAAGTTGGTCGAGTTGGTGGGCGGAGCTTAGGGCCTCCAGACGGATATCAGTCAGCTTCATCTCTTTGTCTCTTAGCTCATTTCGCAACTGCATGACTGTTTCTGCTTCACTATCAGTACATTCTGAAATCCTGAGGGGATTTTAAAAAAATACTGAGCCAATTAACTCAAGAACATGAATTCTTAATATGTTAGCACAAATGGAAAGCTTTAATGTTTTGGTTTCTCTGAGGTTTTGCCTAACTCCAGTCGTGAGATCAATGGAATACAGTCATCAGAATTTGTTTCAGCCTGCCCAAAGGAGGTAGGGAAGAGTACCTTGGCAGTTAATACAATCAGGACACAAAACTACCATTTTGGCTGTGAACTATACTTAGCTTCAGTAGTTAAACTGCTGTGAGGAATAGTCATTCTGTGAGAAATCTATACAGCCAGGAAATCCCAAGTAAATTAAGGAGGTATAGACAGTAGCAGCAGCCACTCGAAGATTGATGGACTTAAAAAAAAAGATTTAGCATTCAGCAGGTGTAATGCACAGCTGGGCCTCCCTCTATGATTCCAGAGAGCTTTGGAACTCTACACCTTTTCAGACATGAAACATTCCTGTTCATTCTAAATTGCTCAGGCTTTATTTAAAAGCTTTTATTCTTCTGGCACCAGCTTTCTGTTACCCCTTTTTTTTCATTGAGAACTGGGTTCAGTTACTTTCTGACACATAAAAAACAAACAGTAATATAGCCAGCCATTTTCTGGAATTTGTTCATATTTAGTGCTTCCTGTGAATGTCATTCCTTTATTAATGAATGTGCTCTTTATTAGTATCCAAAACCAATTATTTAGCGGTAAAAAATTACAAACCAAAGACAGATTTCAGGTTAAAAATCTACTGGCATGAAGTGGAAGAAGACTTCTAAAAATATTATCTTTCTTTTAGTAGAGCAGAAATTCTTCATCAAGCCTCTGCAACAATTCCAATTGCTATAATACTAGTAACTTCACATAAAGACTGGTAAATCTGTACTAGATAATAATTTCAGGCCATTTTCCCATGGGTGATTTGCCCTGGGTTCAATTATTGGGAAGGGGCTTTCCTCTCTGCTTCCCCATAGCACTGTGCTGCTTCTGTCACCACCCGGATTTCCCTCGACTCTTCTGCAATCTTTCCCAAACCTGCTTTACGCCTGCAACAAAACTGAGCTGGCTGCCGTGTATATGGAAGAGTCGGGATTTTCCTAGTCCTGCCCACAAGCCGCCATTTTCCCTGCGCCAGTCCCCGCAGCAGCCTTCCCCCTTCTCGCAAGCCACACTGCTTCTGAGGTTCCTTTTGAAAATTGGCAATTGGCATATTGATGTAATGATAATTTCATTACTTGTTTTTTAAAAAAACCTTCCCCCCCATAGGAAAAGGGAGAATGTGGAGAAAGCTGCTATCTAGAAGCCCTGTTGCCACTGTGCTGCATTGGTAGTTGCAGCAATGCTTTGTTGTTTATAGGAAAGCACTGCCATATGGAAAAGGTCTCTGTTAAGTGTCACAGTTCTCAAATGACCCTCTGCCAGGCTGGCACAAATGTTCACAGCCCTGTGGGGTGCTTGTTCACATAAGTCATAGTATGCTAACTATTTGATACTAAAGTGAGGTACCTGAAGACCACTGCAAAGGGACCACGACAGAAGAAATATGGGGAAACCTCCCACGGGAAAGCCCTGTCACCACTGTATTGGTAGCCACAGCAGCAGCAGGGAAACCACACACGGCTGTTCCTATGTGGAAACCACCATGGAAACACACAGTGGAGAGAGAGCAATGCAGAAGTGAAGGGAAAAAGCCTGTAAAGAAATTCTGCTCAATCCTTAATCCTCATCTCTCCGACAGCACCAAACAAAATGGGTTCCAGTTCTGAAACAAATTTTATATATGCAAGCTGAACTCACAGGGAATTGGAATGAGAGGTTCTCAGTAATGGTGTGGAGACAACTGTGCCGTTGTGAGGCAGTTTTGGTGACGAAGGCAGGGAACAATCTGTCATCTCCTCAATATCTGAATGAGAAGATGCTGACTTGGGAGACTTCTTTTTACCAAAAGCTTGCTTGAAGGAGCTACGCAACTGAAAGTACATGAAAACAGAAAGAGTTATGAATAAAACGAGTAACCCTTTATGGCAAGATATAAAATATCAGCAGGGAATACTTGACATGCACCATTTTTATAATTTGTTACTTAATTTCTTCTTTTTTTACAGTACAGATTAATAACTGAAGTACAGATTTTCTTCTCTAGAAGTCTTTGCATCCTATTAGGAAAGGAAAGAGTTTGAAGTGCTTTAAAAGTGCTGGCTGTTGAGAAGTATTTTTTGAAGTGCATCTTTTCATTATAAGACACAGCAAATGCTTTTCAGATCAAAGACCATTTTATGAAAGGGTTACCACAGGTTGCAGTTAGGAAGTGACATGGCGCAGACAAGGTTATTGATGCCGACAGAGTTAATCATGTAAATGGACGAGTTAGCTTTGTATTTTAGAATTTAAAATACATCTTTCTTACCTCATTGACCTGCCAGAGGAAGTGCAAGCAAAAAAAGGGAAGGGGGAAGGAAAAAAGACAAGTTTTAACAGATAAAGCCAATGACAGGGAAAGTGCTGGATTTCTCAGGTGAACATGCCCCCCCCCAAAAAAAAGGGGGGGCAGAGACCAAATAATTTTCTGGAGTAATTTTTTTTTTAAAGCATATCATCTTATGACTTAAATTGGATCTGAACATTTTACTGAACCTAAGGGATGAGGTGCATATTGCAGTCTAAATTTGCATTGTACTTTACACATTATCCAAATTTGCCTTTTGTCTGCCAAACACTGAATGCCACAGAATGGCGCTGAGTCACCATCTCTCCCCTTGCACAGGGGGAACAAGAACATGCCCCAGACTAATGCACTTGTTTTGCTCTCTCTTTACAACCGTTAAGAAATTATTTCTGACTTGACAACCTCCCCAAACCTAGCATCTTGAAATTGCTGAATCCAATCATCCAGGTCTAGGGGAGGTCCTACACTGCAGTGATAGGATCTTCCTGATTCATTTCTATGCATGGTGATGTGAGTTGCGAGCCTCTACCACAATATCAGCATTGTCTGGGGCCAACACACCATCCAGTCTCTCCTCTTGGGGCCTCAACTGGCCTCACATTAGAGAGGAGAAGGGGTTAACCATACCCTTAAGCCTTCCTCCTCTCTTTCAACTGCTCTCCCCTGTAGTCAGTTAGCTGGCAAGAAGGCTAACATGTCCTCGCAGGCCTGAATCCCTGGCCGTTATGAGGAAAACTTCTTGGGGTATGCCTGCCTCTTCCTCCTCCTGCCTCCTAGAGGGTTGCCCCACCCTCCTGGGCTGATTGGCAGGAGCTATTTTTG